GCAATTATCAATCAATTAAAACATTTGTTCATAAAATACTCTTAGTGTCTTAAAAGTGTCTTTTCTTCTTTTTTTAGTTTAGTAGACATTTATTCTTTAAACAACCTTTACACACAAAATGTATGGACCCTTTCTTCATTTTATTGAAAGCTCAGGTCTCAAGGTTTTGTCTGTTAACACGTATTTTCTGGAAATCAACTGACCCTTCCTGAAGTCCCTATAGAAAGAAAAATCGGTACATGGAAAGCATCAATTATATTTTGAAGTCAGGAACCCCCCGCCCCCATTCTTAGGCCAGCAAACCCAGAATTTGAAAAAGTTAAAGGGCAATTTCTCCCACACTCAAATTTCACCTGGGAAATAGTACCTGTCCACTGGAAGATACAACTGAATTGAAATGTGGTCTTTGTAGAATAGCAAATTTTTTGAAAAGTACAGTAGTCTGACCATGGATGAGAAAACAGACAAGATTAAAAAGCCATCAGCTTGCAGTGACACCAACTGACTTAATGTTCTTCTGGAAGTGGATAAATCGAGTTTACCCAAGACAGTTTGCTAGGTACATAAAACATACCTTTAAGTGGCCAGTACTTTTCCCCCATGTAGCTACAGGGCTCAAAGTATTCTAAGGTAGTTACTGAATGGCCTCTTGGATTACCAGCTTTCCACCCTTACCTTCATGACTAGTTCACAAACCTAAAGGTAAATTCATTTACCTAATATCCAATATCTATCAAATTCAGAATTCCATGGAGCCAAATGAGCAAACCAGGAATTTGGACACTTTTCATGTGAACTTACTCGGTACTGTGGAGACAGGCAATTTTGTTTAGGCTAAGCCAAATTCATTTCATTTCCAAGAGAAAACTCTGGCAACAGGTTTATTCTTTTGAGCTCCCATCTTTTCTACATATGATCATGATACAGGGTTATCTGATTTCAAGTTTGTATTTGCCAAACTCCAAAAAACCAGCCACTTCAAAACAGCAGAGCATTGCATTACTCCAATAAAGCTGTAGGTTTCATTACATGCACCAAACAGATCTACAGGGCTAGTTTTAGCACTTCTCTTTTAAATAATTTTACATCTATTACATACACCACACAGCATGTTTTAAACACTGACATATAACTCCCCAATAAGATAAAGCAAAGACAAAAAAGCTTATTAAAACAAAGATACACCATCACTTATAGTCTTCAAACATTATTGCACTTTAACTTTCATTTGACAAAGCATTCATGAAATAATCAGCAGACTACTTAACACTTTTAAGCAGACAGGACTGTCCTAAATTGTTTATTATTTATTAGGTTATGAACTTTACAAACATTACTTCTATTAGCGGTAACGGTGGAGCTGGAGAGTATTGCGCCTTCTCCAAGCTGCACGGCGAGAACCACCAATAGTGTGGTGGAATTTGTGGCCCTTTCCAAGGCCACGACTCTTGCGGCCCGCAGATGTCAGCCCACGCATCTCCCTGTGCTTATGGACTGGTTTGGTGATCCATTGGGTGTCAGGATTTCTTCTAATGGCTTTGTGGAATGGATCAACGAGGATAACCTCAAAGAATTTGTATGTGGAATCTTCACCAACCCAGTAAGAATTCAGAACTCTCAGAGGCCTACAGTGGCGTCCAGCACGCTCCTCAGCAACAGACTGAAGGCTTCGTGCAAACTTTAGCTGGTTAACACCATGATGGACAGGCTTGCCATAAGTCGCACCTTTAGGAACTGGGCGTTTCCGGCCACCACGGCGCACTCGAATCTTGTATATGACATAACCTTGTTTGGCCTTGTATCCCAGTCTCCGCGCTTTATCCGGCCGGGTGAGGCGGGGAGCCCTGTGCAGCGCAGAGAGCTGGCGGTACTGCCAGCAGCGGACCCTAAGAAAGCGCATCACATCCGACTGCTTCTTCCTCCATAGCTCCTGGATGTACTTGTACGCACCCATCTTGGCTTATCTGATGGCTGCCGCCAGATGGAAAGGTTAAAAATATATTTAAAGAATATCAATATGTATTTATTACTTAGTCTCTGTCCAGGTTTGTTTATTACCTCTGGCAGTATTAAAGATCTTCACTAATACATGTTTGACAACTATCATCTAGATCAGTGGTCCATAGAAAAAACTTCAGTGTACCCTTGAGCTCATCCTCCTTGTCTCAGAATCAAACTTAGTTTATTCTGAGTCGAAGAGGAGTGCTTTATTTCTTTTCTAAAGTTTCCCTTGCAAATACATTACTGGTCTCTAGAGTCTTTCAGCCCTCACACTCAAGAAAAATTTCATGGATATGTATTTCTTACTCTATAATATTCTTTCTCTTTCTATTCACTTACTGTATATTAGTTATTGAGATTTTTTTTATTCATAACTTTACCATATCTGTATATATTAGAGTCTGAAGATCTCAGAGACAGGGCCTGCCCCAAACATTTTAAAAGCATATTTTGTTATCTGCATTGCTTTGCACATCTAAAATATCCCATAATATAATAAAGTGTTACAAAGTGAACAAATGGGCCCTTTCTATTCTGTATCTTTAATTCTTAAAAGTAGTATTCTAGTAGGATATTTTCTGCTGTGGAATTTTAGAAACTTTTATTACTGGAAGTGTTGGTTGAACTTGACTGTTATTATGTGATTCATAATATAAACCTTAGTGTTTGTATGCATATGAGAAGCTCCGTCATACTGAAGTCTTTAAGTGGGTATTTGTTAATATTTTCTGCAATTTACTTCCTTAAAAATAAAAATTATTAATAATTACTAATAATCATTATGTTTAAAAACTGGGTTAAAAAACCTCACAAATGTTTAATGAGGAACGCATACATTTTTCAAAAGTGTGAAATAAAAATTTTAGCACACATATTTCTAATTCATATATCTCTGGCAGAAAGAAGTAATATTTAACTAAATTTGGGGGAATAAAAATGAAGCCATAGTTAAAAGGTAAAGATGAAGGGACAATGTCCAAAAAGAGCAAAGCTGATTTAGAAGAGAACTTGGAGGCATGGTGGAAGGGTGAAGGATTCCAAATGATTTGTAAAAAGGAAGGCTTTATGTACCAGCTCCCCACAATTAATATATTCATTATTTTTGGCAAACATACTAACAAAATGAAAGAGAATGCTCTCCAAAGTATCCCTGATGACCTTGTAAGCAGCACTTCGCAGGTGTGACACTGCAGACAAACTTGAGACAGCTGAAGAGGGAAAGTTTCAACTGGAAAATTTTTTAAATGTACCTATTTAGTATTTTAATAACATTCACTAGTTTATAATAGTAAGGCAGTAATAATTCCAAGAACAACTTATAGTAGCTGATTCAGTTCCTAGGTCAAGCGCATTGTTGGTTTGAAGCACTTTTCTCATTAGAACAGTGATTGTTGATAACTAAATGCTTAGAGATAATTTTTATGATGTCAGGTTATTGCAACCAAGCATGCTATTTCAGTGGCTGTTTAGAGGATATAAGAAGCTTTTAGGACTATGATTAACACCAAAGAGTAACAGAGATGGACTGCTAAGAAGTAAAAGCATAGATTGGGGCATCGGTGCAAATAGTTTATAAGAAAATGAAAATGTTGAAAGATAGTATTAACTTTTACTGGTATATTGTATGATTTTTACTACCATTGTTGGTATCACTGATCCAATTATAACACTAAAAAATAGCTTGTAGGCTTATAAACCTCACATGACTGAATTTTTTTAGATCTGGGCATTTATTACTATACTGTTACTTTAGTGTTAGGTAGCTGTGTGTAACAGAGACGACGACGAAGACAAAAAAGTACGAGTCATGCTTGAAAGAATTCACTGGGCTCTGCAGAAGCTTTAGGGTTATGAGTGAGGGACCAAAGCCTAAGACAATGGAAAAAAAAGAAATGTTTATTTCTTAGGCAGTTGGATGGAACTGACCATATATTATTCCCTAAGTCGTCTGCTCCCACATTCAGGTGAATAATTGCATCAACTGCTCATTCCTTGTGGGTATTACAGGGCTCAGTTAGACCCCAGAGTGTTGATTGAGGAATAGTTCTTGCACATGAGCTACTTGTGGGATAGTTTGGCTTGCCTGTAATTCCTTTCACACTTAACATTAAGGCAGTAAGCATAATGGTGAAGACAGTATAGTTTGAAGTTCATCACAGAAGACCTTGTCTGACACTTCTTAGTAATATGAACTGGAGCACAAGTAGTTTAATTTTGATAATCCCTCATGGATGGGATTCATAATAACTGTCTCTTGGATTGTTTGTGGATTAGGGGCAATCATATATGTGCTGTGCCTGAAGCAGTGACTTTTAAAAAGTAAGTAGCAATATATGATATGAAAGAAATAAGGGTCCCAATGATAATAATGTCAACTTGAAATGGCTGAGATGTATAAGAGAAAATGTTTATGAAAGACACTCCAAAGTCATCCCCTAATCACTGGACTATAGTACGAAAATTTGGTTTTTAAATGCTTCCTGACCATTCAAGATATGTCCATATCTAGCATAGAAATCAAAATTTATCACAATATATATGTTTTGAATTATCACATAATACCTCTTAAATATATACAATTTTATGTGCCAATGTATGTCATTTTTATATAAATTTATGTCATTTTATTTTTATAATTTGCAGTAGATCCTTGACTTATGAACTCAATTCATTCCAAAGGGCTGGTTGTAACTCAAGTTGGTCAACCAAAGGCTCAGGCTCCTCTACAAAGCCTTCAAAGTCTCTCTCCTGTGTAATTTTAGGCCACACTTTCTTCCAGGCAGATCTCAGTGTCCTTAGGGAAACATTGGCCCAGGATTTCTCAGTTAACCCCACACATGAAAAGATGTTGTAATGTTCCTTCCAGAACGCTTTAAGGGTTAAATCTGTATCTGAGACTGTCGGGAAGCACAAGCAGCCATTCAAGTTGTAATGCAAGACTTTGGTCATAAGTTAAAACTAAAACTCTGGTCATAACCTAAGTTGTTTGTCAGGCTGGTCAAAACTGGAGGGTCCACTGTATATATTTAGGGATAGCTGATTTAATTAGACTTCATGTTATTAGTCAAATCATGTTATTGTAGAGGTATACAGTGAATAGTTAGTTTTACATTTAAATATTAATTTTTTTATTTTATCAGATATGATTTTTGAATGTAAAATACCCTAATAGTAGAAAGAAGATATTGTCTAATAAATAGAACTTAATATAAAATAGTCAAAACTCCTTATTTTTTAATAATCCCTTATGACAGCATTCTCCAAATTTTGTTTGCTTAACATATATTTCTACCTTTTTCAAATGAGTAATGAAGAACTTAAAAGGGGAAGATAGTAATATGTTCCAATGAAAAGTTAAAAAGTTGAGGCTGAGACAGGAGGATTGCAAGTTTGAGCCCAGCCTGGGCAATTGAGTAACTTGGCAAGAACTTGTCTCAAAAAATAAAAAGGAGTTGGGATGTAACTTAGTGCAAAGTCCTTGTGTTCAATCCTCCGTACTGCAAAAGTTATATAGGGTGATTATTCCTAATCAAAAATATAGTATCTGGAGTGCTCTAATATTCAAAACTTTTTGAGTGCCAACATGATGGATTAGGGAGCTGATAGTCTGTGTGAATATTCCAAAATCTGAAAAACTTTAAACTCTGACACACATTGGGCATTTTGGGTAAGGGATACTCAAACTATTCTACAGAACATACTTGTCCCCATTTCCAACCTAATGAGATTTGTGAAAATAAATGTACTGTAGTAAGCCAGCCTATGAGGAACTGTGAATAAATCCAGTCTTGAAATGTTTGCATTGATTTTGCCCCTTCATTCCTTTCCATAGCTCAGTTTGAAGCAGGATCATGTTACTGAAATGCCAGCATTGGTTTAGATTAATGAAGCTCCACTGCTTGAGACCTCATATCCAAATGACTTACAAATTAGGACAGCCAAATTATTTTTGGTCGACTTCCAATATTGTGCTCACACACAATTATTAGGTATTCCTTATTATTCTCCATATTGATATTATTCTCCATAATTGATAATGACAAGCAGAATACACTAGTTCGATACTTTAAAGGCAGGGTCATCTGAAGATGGGGGGGGCCAAGGTTGTTTGTAAGAGGTCTACTCTGTGTTGTTAAACTTGGAACTCATCTGGTTTGTACTGATTTTCTTCGTTGTGCTGTATAAGTAAACCAGACAACTATGGATAAGACAAACTTTTGTTCAACATGAGCAATCTTGAATTTTCTAAGAAAAACCCTTTCTTCTAAAACTAGTATTGACAATTTCATCATCCTCATAAAATATTTATCCCAGTTGATTTGCTTGTGACCACTCACATTGACTTACCCAGAGACATACACAGAGGCAGACTGACCTTTAGGAAATAACAACGATGTTCCCTTCTCTCCATGCTCATCCCAAACACATATTGGCCAATTTCCTCACTATATTGATGAACATTTCCTTAGCGCTCACCCAGCTCTCACTAGAGTGCTCAGGGTGTCATTTACAGCATATTGAAAAATGAAAACGATATCCTGGGTGTGGGGCATAACGTTGGTCTGAAAGGGAAAATACATTCCCTGGCTGGGAATTTCTTAAACATTTAGAGCTGGTGAAGTAGTTGCATAGACGTTGGGGAATTTCCCCTTTCTTCCCCGCATAGCCAAGTCCGCGGCTGAGCTGAACGAGGGCGGCTGCGATGTACTGGTTTTGGGATTTACCTCTTCAACCACTGGGAGGCCCTCTGCGTTCCCCTTTCCCCGGTGCCTGGCTGCGATTACTCACACGAGCAGTGGCACCAGCCTTCCACCAGGGAGCCTCGAGAGAGCTCTCCCGCCCTCCACCCCCCCCCCCCCCCCCCCCCCTCTCCTGGGCTCCGTCTCTCTGTCCATCCGTCTCCCCCCCATCTGCAGCTTGCTGGCTCTCTCTTTCTCCCTCTCTGTCTCACTCTCTCTCTCTCCCTCTCCTATCCGAGCACAATGAAAGCCTCTGTATCGCCGTGACTCCGGGCGGGAGCCAGTGTCAGCAAGCGGCTAACAGAGGAGAAAGAGAAAGGAAAATACAAGCTACTTTTTTTTTTTTTCATCTATAAAGCGGAGCAATACAAGCGATAGAATCACATTGCTTATTGCGAGTCCAGACCCTCAGATCCACTGGCTGGGGATGGAATGTACAAAAGTGGACAGAAAAGTGGCTGGACATGACTCGGTGCAATTTGCTGGAAGTTTGTAAGTTTGACCATCGTTTGTAAATTACTCTCGGAAGAGTTTGTCTCTCTTGATACTGTATTAGAAAAGAGCCGGGGGGTGAGGAATAGAAACGTAAGCGGGAAAGAAAAAAATGTGTTGAAGGATCTCTCTCAGAGGCTAGCCACTTCAGATTGCTTTCATTTAAGGCTAGGAAACCTTAGAGGGAATAAGGATTTTACCGGTGATTGGATTAGCTGAAGAAAAAATCACGGTCCCAAAGTCCAATTACTGACATTGTTAAGAATTGAAAAGCTGTCTCCTTTTGGGAGAAGACCACATCCTACAGTACCCCCAGGAAGAGAAAACACCGGAGCAAAGGGAAAGGGAGAAAAATCAAAAGCCAAAAGACGGTCACCCTTGATTTTTGTACAGTTTGAACATTGACTTCAAAAACGTTCTGAAACAGCACTGGTTTTTGTTTTGTTTTTTTTAAAACGTGAGAAAAAGTAAAGGCTGCTGGTTACATAGACCAGTAGAAATGTTTCTTTACAGAAGCATTCTCACAAAGAATCTTCCGAAATAACTAGGTGAGGGAGAGTCCAGCTCTCTGTTAATACCTCTCTCAATTCCTTTTGCTGTGTGTTCCTGCCTCTTGCTTGGCAATCCCTGAATTCCTGAACTAACCCCCAGATCATGTGTTTACAACGTGCCTAGTGGCTCTGGTCAGCTTGTTGGGGGGGTGGGGGGAATCCACCAACTCTGTCCAACTTCTCCAGAGCTGTCAAATCCAATTAGAGTAAGTTGATCAGGGTTTGTTTCCAACTTATCCTCTCCAAATGGTATCTATTCTTTCTCCCCACCCTTTTTTTTTTAACTAACTCCCCTCCCCCACACCTTCTGCACTGCTCCCCTCAACCTCTGAAGACCTCTATTCATGTGGCCCTGAACACTGAGCTCACATTGTCAAAAACAGATTTGCCTGCCATAGCCAGCAGTAGCATCTTTCCACCTCACCATCTCAGAGGCAGCAATCATCGTGTCCAGTAGGATGGGGGACACAGCGCCCCCGCAGGCCTCCGCAGGAGGGCTGGGGGGGGCCTCTGGGGCGGGGCTCCTTGGAGGGGGCTCAGTCACCCCTAGAGTGCACAGTGCTATCGTGGAGCGCCTGAGGGCTCGGATTGCCGTCTGCCGCCAGCACCACCTGAGCTGTGAAGGACGCTATGAACGTGGTAGGGCCGAGAGCTCAGACCGCGAAAGGGAGAGCACCTTGCAGCTCCTGAGCCTTGTACAGCACGGCCAGGGGGCAAGGAAGGCTGGCAAACACACGAAGGCCACCACCACTGCTGTCACCACCACCGCCCCTCCACCACCCCCTGCTGCCCCTGCCACGGCCTCCCAGGCAGCAGCAACAGCAGCCCCACCGCCCCCACCAGACTATCACCACCACCACCAGCAGCATCTGCTGAGCGGTAGCAATAATGGTGGCAGTGGTGGGATAAATGGAGAGCAGCAGCCACCAGCATCAACCCCAGGGGACCAGAGGAACTCAGCCCTGATTGCGGTAAGGCACATGGTTTTGTCATGATTCTGGCTTTGGTCGCGTGGCCTTTTGTGAAGTCAGAGGTTGTCTTGGCCTAATGAAGAATGGATGGTGGTAAAAGATGACCAAGATGTCCCAGACTACCTCAAAGGCCATTGGATGTGATGTCTGTGTGGTTTTATACTCTTACACATCAAATTCACTGGTGCCCATGTATGGGTATTCCTTAACTGATAAGAGGTTCTCAGGGGAGTCGACACCTTATAGAAGAAGGGCTTGGAAGGCCCTCTCTCGAGTATCCTCTTGGTTTGACTAACCTGCTCTGAGTAGGCCCAACTACCTATTCTTCAACCAGAAAGCATTTATCAGCTCAGCTGACCTGTATCAAAGCCTTTGCCTTTACCCTATTCCCCTTTCTTCCCCCTTCCCCCTTTAAAGTGTCCCTTCTCCTGGGGTTAACAGAACACAAATAGTGCTCTGTAACACAGAGCAAGTGCCTTTAGTGTCTCCTTAGTCAAAAGATCGGGGAAAATATCCCAAAGATACAATTGACAACAAGTTTATTAAGTTGCCTCATCTCTGATTTCTTGTAGACTCCAGCATCCCTCAGTCACATCTAACTTGTTTACTAGACATTTCTGCAAGTAGTGCTAACACAGAGCATTCATGAAAATGGGCAGGCACAAAGGCTAGCTATACAGTTATCATCCTAGGAAATACCTTGTCTCTAACCGCTGCTGGTGACTGCATCAAACCCAAAAGTTGTGATTAAGTTTCTGACTGGAAGTGCTTTCTCAGAGGCACAGACATGCCCCACCCAGAGGGAGTATCCCTTGAATCATTGATTTTTTGTGCCAGTTCTGGTCAGGTGATTTTTTGCCTGCTGTGTGCTGACTTCCTCCAAGCTGCTTGGTCAGTGCCCTTTGGGCAGAACGTTGTAACCCTTCCCTAAAGCCTGCAGGCTTTTCCTTTAAGTTCCAAGGAGCTCCTAAAGTTCTGAGTTTGTTTGCATCATAGCTGTGTTTCCACTAGCCAGCCCTGATGAAAGACAGAACAAGAAATGGCCATGAAAGCCCAAAAGTACTCAGAAGGCCCAAAGGAAAGGATGGTGCTATGTCAAACTTTTTTTCCCAAAGGTCTTGAAAATGAGCTGTAAGCATCAACCAGCCCCCAAGATGCTTCTTTCTGGCTCTCTCTTATCTCCCTGCCGTGGGTCTGTGATGGTGACCTTTCCAGGAAGCTCTGAGGGCCAGGTTGCTGCTCTTTTCCTCAGCCATACACACATTTTGCTTAGAATGCCTAGAACTACAAATCCTTGAACCCAGCTCCAAGTGAAAATTAACTACCAAGAATTAAACTCCCCAGTGTTTAGTGTTTTATCCGTGAATGCGTAAAATTGCCCTCTGGGGTTATATTGGAGGTTCAAGGCCTAATTTCTTTTCTCTGCCACCTGCTACATCCCTACTTCTCCTTGGAATTCCCTAGCAGAGCAGTTGGAGTTTGTTTTGTAAAAGAGAGAAGAAAAAGAGCAAAAAGAATTGCTCCAATGGTGAGAAGAATGAAGTTTGTATGTATCTGTGTGTCACCAGCATCTGCAGCCAAAAGTAGCTAAATGCCTTGATTGTCCCCAGTAATTTATAATCTGTCTGCAAGTCTCCCAATAATACAGCTTTGTGTGCCTCAGTCTCCTGAAAGTGTTTCTGCAGATCAGACAGAGAGAAAAGCCTCCAGCCCAGCCCTGAATAGGGAAGGCTGATTTCTGCCCTGGGTGCCAACACTGGTGGGGTTGTGAAGGGACCACAGTGTGAGCTTTTCCTAGGGGCTTCATCCCAGCTTCTGCCAGAAAAGTGGTATGTCCACCCATGGCCTTGTTTTTTCTTTTGTTCTACTTGGAAGTAGAATGAGGCTGTCTCTTTTTCTAGAGTGTTTCAGGATGAGAAATGGAACCAACTTCAGTGGTTATTATGTGTTTACAGTAGTAATATCATGCTGTCAGGGGAAGTGAGGAAACAGTGTCTTCCCTTACTCCACTGCATACTTAAAGCTATAGAAGCCAAAAAGTGTCTGCTCTGCCACCACTGGTCTCAGAGGGAATCTCTTTTCTCCCTTATACCCACCAACCATCTCCTAAAATGTTCGTTTGGAAGAACTCCCTGAGTGTAATGATGATGTGAGAAAGTTGATGTAATTTAGGAAGAAAAGGACAGCTTATTTCTAACAGTTGTCCTTCACCACAAATGTGTGAGGTTCCAAGGGTTGATTGACCTCATTTGATTATTGGAAATTCCCTCTCCATTTTGTCTTCAAAATTTGGCTCTTTGTTACTGCGTGATGTAAGTGCTGTGTTAACCTGATAACATTGTGTCCAAAGGGAGGCCTGGGCATCTGGGAGTGATTCACTACACTCACTGCTCTGCCAGGTCTCATTTTACTAGGCTTCTCTCATTTGCAGATGCTGTTGGCATAAAAGGGCCTTTGCTCAGACAAGATGTCAGAATTCTTTCTTAATTTTATTGCTACTGTGTCCATAACCAGATTTATGTGGTCTGTATATGCTGAATGTATCACTTTAATAGTTAATTTGTATGCCAAAAGTGGCCATAAATGTCCTTTGGACAAAGGGAAAGAATATTGATCATCTAAAATCATATGCGTGTTGTGTCTTCAGACAAAAAAACTCTGCATCCCTCATACCTTCTAGTACACTACTAATGTAGAGAGGATATTTGCTGAATGAAGGAGAAAGGGCAACTTCTGTTCAGGGAGATTGTGTTGACTTTGAGGAGTGTTCTACTGAAAAGAATATATTGTATCTGAATCCTTTCAGTAGCCTAAGTTTCAAGAATGATGCAAGAATAACCTCTAATTCTGTCCACATTGAAAGCCTAATTCTACAGCCCTTACTCAGCCAGTTTCTTCATTTAGCTCAAGTGCAAGTTCAGGGGAAGCCCCACGGCTGCAAAGACTGCAAGAACACAGCCTTTTAAAGTGCTGAGATTGTATAGAGCTTCGAGCAGATCTACATTTCTAACACTTAGACTTCAGGCACTAAATCATTTTCTGGTGAAGTATGTTTGAATCTTTGAATGAACTGTGAAACTCAATAATTGCTGGTCCATGGAACAGTAAAGTTAGAGCTTCATGGTACATTATTAATCTTTCCCTTGTGCCTGAGACAAGCTTTTTTTTCTTTTGCATAGATTGTGTTGCTAGAATGAGTAGATAAGTGGTTCCTAGTCATCTTTGGCTTCAGATTATCTTTTCTCTAATGAGGTGTGAAAGAAAGAAAGCAGATCAGACAAGGAGCCTGTATCCCCTTGTTTTATGCTTGCTTGATCACTAACCAGCTAGGTGACCTAGGACAAGTCACCTAGATGTCATCTATAAAACAGAGAGAACTATAATGCTTCCCTAGGTTGTTGAGCAAAGCAAATGAGTGTGTTTCTGAATAAGCTTTAGAAAAATCAAAGCACTGAAGAAATGCAAGGTATCACTACTAGTGTTACTAATAATAAATTACTAAACAATGAATACTAATTCCAGTTTTTCCAGGGATTAAAATTATACTCAGCTTTCAGTTGTCTGTTTGAAATGGTGAAATAGCTCTTTTTGTAAATAGAGGGATTGGTATTTTAAATTTAGGGCTGTCAAGATAAGACTGAGATATTGATGTACTTAAGTGTTCATGAAGTCCCAGGAAATTCTATTTAAAATGTGCAATGCTGCAAAAGTCTTGGGTGTATTTGAATGCATGTCCTCTACAAGCCTATTGCATAGACCTCAGAAACTTTTGAAAGGTGTGTCCTCCCAGAGTGTCTTAGGAATATTAGAAAAGTTGTTTACACAAATGACATGGGAAAGTTAAATATTTTGTCAACAACAGTCTAAATGTTAATTGTTAGCTTAAGAAAGTCAAACAAGTTAAATCATTGCCAGAGTTCCCTGGTGATTTTTAACTGATAATAATCAAGTTTCCAAGAGACAACTAAAAATTTGAGAGCTATAAATGGGGGACCAGATTTGGGTTTCTATAGCTGTCTACATGATAAATGTCCTCCCTAAGACAATGATAGGCATGTTTACATTATTTATGTATGTAACCATAATTTCCTTAAGAACTGACCTATTTTTGTTCTGTCTTCTAGAATAAAGTAATAAAGGGAGAATTCTTATCTATCCAGTACCTTACCAATTCTTTCAAGTATCATAAATGTAAGAACTCACAAAGACAAGAGTTTAAGTGAAGAGAGAAAGTTAACAGTGTAATAGTTTATCAAAAATTTGGGCTGAGGATGTGGCTCAGTGGTAGACCACAGGCCTAGCTTTGCCAGGCCCTGGGTTCAATGCCCAGCACCACCACCAAAAAAAAACATAAGGCAGAAAACATGCCATGGCAGCAAGGTGGTATTCTCATGAAAACCAAGATGTCTTTGCTTATTTAGATATTTGTTTATAGAGGCCACATTGCCACCTTATTTCTTTGAAATACTGTCACTGCTAAGTGATGGTCATCAATTTTTTCTAAATCTTAAATTTTAATGGCTTCCCTATGCCTTCCCTATCATTTTTAAAAATCATGATGTTTAAACATAGATTTTCAAATGTTCTTAGACATAGCAATTAAATATGACTAGAAGAGTGGCCATGATTAGCTGTTTTGTTTTTCTTACTGTTCTGTGTTTGTTTTTATTACTGTTTGTGTGTGCTCTTCGCATTATTATTTAATTTCAAGAAGCCAAGAAGGAAACCTGAAAAAAATACAGTTCTGCTACACAAGAAAGATAACCTTCTTGAATGGATACTACTACTTCCCTGTCCTTTAGTCCACTGTCTTACATCTGTTCATGTTCATAGGCAAGGCCATGTTGAGTGAACACAGTTGTAATCTTTTCCTTCTACATGTTCATGCTTGTTTTCCTCATACTTCAGCAGGTTCTGTGGGAAAATAAGGGAAAACACTGCTAAAGATATATTCCCTGCTTCCTTTCAGTCCAGTAGAGAAATCAAGACCACCTCAGCAA